GCATGCTATTATGTGGGTGAACCCTGAAAATATAGTAAAGAAGCCAGTCAAAAATCTATATGTTATATTTCTTTTACATGAAATGTACAGGATAAGAAAATCTCTAGAGAATGAAAGTAGATCAATAGTTGTCAGGGGTCAACAGAAGGGAAGAGGATGACTACTATTGAAGATAGGGTTTCTTTTTGGGGTGACAAAAACATTCTAAAATGAGACAGTGGTGATAATTCCCCAACTTCATGAAAATAGTAAAAACTTTTGAATGGCACACTTTAAAAGAATAAATTACTATATGGTAATTACATCTTGATAAATAAATTATGACTGAATAATAAAATAAGTGAATCAATCAATCCTTGTGTTCTTTTCTGAAACTGGCTTAAACCCTGAAAATTTTAAGAATGAGCTATCAGCAGTGACATCTAATTTAAGCAAGAAATTATTTATTTTTATGATCTGATTTTTGTCTTTATACAGAAAAAAGTCTTCTCCATCAGAGATAAAAAATGGTCTATAATATTTATAATATTCCAATTTTCTACTTCAAAACTGGTAATTTCAGATCATATTACCTCAATACAGAAAATATTCTAAAGATCCTCTCTTGCTAACTAAAGGGCTATTCTCTGCACAAAATAGTCTAGTTGACATGTATGCCTGAGAAGTTTTGCCCTCTAATTCTGTTTCAAGTTTCTTTATCCCCACATTAGCCTACTATTGAGACCAAAATATCATTCTACATTAGCCTACCAGACCAAAATAATACTCAGTGAACTTAAGCAGGTATTGCCAGTTGAATTTTAGAGTTAAAATTACACATACACTTGTAGCAATGGAAAGACACCTCACATTATCACCCATAACTATATGTTAATATTCATTTTCACATTTGCCTGTTACCTTGCCACTACAATTTCCATCTAGATCCTCAGAAACCATTTGTCTTCAGGTCCCTTATAGAACACCATATGTGGCGAGCAGATTGGGCACTGCACAACTCCATCAGGAGAGCCCTCCCAGGTACCTCAGCATTCTGGGGCTCAATGGGAGCACCCTAGAAGTTTTATAAAAGAGATGTAACAAGAAGAACTAGAAGATAGTTCCTTAAACCAAGGAAAGGCTTTATGCTACCTTATAGTAATGTTGTCATGAACACACAAACCCATCTTGTAGTTGACATACCTCATCCTTCAGCTGACTTCTGCTAGTTTCATGGTGTTGATACTCCATTCTACATTTAAAAACTTTACGCTCAGCAGCAGAAATTCTTTTTTCATATTCTGCATTATTTCCAATCTCACTTTCCAAAAACTTAATCTTTTCTTTGACCAAATTTTCCTTTTCTCTTGTTTCCTGCTTTACCTTCATTAATGCCTAGGATTGAAACAAATGTGTTCACTTAAATATTTGTTTAATATAACAAAACTAAAAGGAACTTCATTTTTATTTTTTCCATTATTATATCCAGCATTTATTTAACAAAAAACATTTTAAGAGATACTTTTATATGAATAAAAGAGTCTCTTATATGAACAAAATACTAGTATGTCATACACTAATATCTATAAACTCATACAGCTAAAGGTCTCTATTTTATCTTTTTTGGAACTTTGTTAAAAGAAAGAAAAACAATTGGGATTTTATATATGAAGGGTAGCACCTAAAAAGATTATACTATTAACTATTTTTCACATAGAAACTTGTATTTTAATAAATTTTTCAAAATATTTTATAGATCAGTATTTTTCATCTTTCAAAAATAACATTTTAATTATTTGTTTGTAAAGGAAGATCTTCACTCGCATCTTTTGCTGATCTTAAATATACAATAACAAATGGGATACATGCATCATTTAAGTCAGGCCTATGATAGTGCATGGAGATGCATAAATATTCTAAAGTGATTAGAGTGCAGGGTGGGAGGACAGAAAAGAGAAGGGAATAGATTAAGAACAAGATATAGATGCAAGGAATGAGACTGGAAAGGTAGAACTTAGACCACAATTGTGTAAAATCAAATGCCATTTTAAAGAGGGTCAACTTTTTAAGCACTGTGGAACAAAGAATATTTTAAACCTGGGGAATAAAAAGATCAGATGAGCTTTTTACAAATGACTCTGATGGCAATAGATTTGATGAATTAAAAGGAAAAATTACCCTAATGTATTTCTTTTATGTTTACCAAATGGGAACCTACCAAATAACTAATCCTAGGAAACTGGGGGAGGATATATGTATTCTGAAATCAGTAAGTTTTTTAAATGTTACACATCATATTTGTACACACTTGCATATTAAATTGATGCATATCTGAGATTTAATGAACTTTTAATAAGATGTTTTAAATTTGTTTAATGTAGTATTCCTATATGTTCTCTATAACAAAAACATTCTATAACATTCTATATAATTATTGGGCTCATTCAAATGAAAGACATAGCAGAACTTCCTATGTTTAAACATTTCCAATGATCATTCTAAAGTTTTCTGCATTACATTAATTTTTCTAACACTTAGGCAAATGCTTTAAGCCTACTTAAACATTATATTTCTCAACAGTGCTATTTATGTTTTCATATGGGTGATGCTTATAAGTGAAAATATGTTGCTTATACCAACATTTCTACCTTAGAATAAAACCATAGTATAGAAATTTTTTTCTTTTCTAAATACTGTTTCTCTTAAGAAGCCAATTTCAGAATTTTTTGGCCAGACTCCTGCTAAGGTGTCACTAAAAAGACAAGTTTTGTTTGAAAAGAGACAAAAGAATACAATTTCAGTTGCAGAAGGTCAAAATATGTCACCACCCCCAAACAATCCTATTGACCATTTTGACCATTTTGAGTTAAAGGCACTTGAAACACTACAGATCCCAAGAAGGGTACTCTTCATTTTCCCCTTTAAAGCAAAAGGCAAAAATTCTATATGAAAGGTGCCCATCTACTGCAGGAGAAAGACATTCACATCACCAGAGACAAGGAGTCAAGGCCAAGAGAAATCTAGATATACAAATCTCGTCAAACTAATCCTTGCCATCCTACTTACTTTTCCAAAATTGCAATTCTTTGTTCAACTTAGTATATAAGCACTTAGGTCTTGCCACATCTTTTGAGTATTTTTCTTGTTTGGGCTTCTGTGGGAAGCCATTCTGACACGTGATTGGGCGGCTCCCATTAAGGGTCTGAGGAGTTCTGGCTGTGTCCGAATTTTCCCGGCCCTTTCCTGATGAGAGAACCCATCCGTGTGGGGGTGTGCCTGACCACTGACCCCGGGGGGGCCCAATCACTGACCCTGACCTTGGAGTGCAGTCCCCCCTCAACCTTCATTGGACGGAATTCTCCCCTGAATCTCTTGTTCCCCAATAAAAAGCTACTCCCAGGCTGTTCACTCTCTCTCTCTCTCCTGCTAGCTCTGAGTAATCCTTGCTGCCCTGCTGGGCGGTTAGAGAAGGGAACCAGAGAGGGGAGCCGTCTGGGACCTGGCAATAGAAATAAGGTAACTGAGTCTGTGTGTTTTATTTCGATCTCTTCGAGCTAACTTTTATGCCAAGAACCTCATTAAATGAAACCATTGCGCTGGCCGCATGGTGGAGGCTTCCCTGTATTTGTAAATAAAATATGTATGCTTTTCTCCTGTTAATCTGTTTTTTGTCAATCCTAGATAAAAAGCCTAACAGGATAGACATAGAAAAATCTAACCTATCCAGTCTAAATGCTACTGCAGTATGAAGCAGCTCTTGTTGACTCACAAAAATTGATTTTACACATCTCTACTCTGTATTCAGAAGACTTGTGTTGGTATAGAAGTAGTTATACCATAGAAATCAGAAATACTTAAACTAGGAGGTTTTGTGTTTATTTTATCTTGTTTTCTTCTCTGAGAACAGTTATATTTAGAAGTGTATCACTGCCTAAAGAAACCACCACTTGGCACCCTTCCTAGTCTCTGAAAACCCAATCAGAGATGTCAACGTGAAACTAAGAACCTACTATTATTATGATCAGATAGCTACTACTGACAAATCAATGGGCTGAGTCAATTTAGCCATGGAGTGGTTTGAGAATGCTGTTTGTGGACCTATAAGGTGAGGGGGGACAGACAGGACTTGATTTTGAAAGTAGAAAGAAGTTTAAAAAATATATAACAATATCTATAATTAAGAGGACCTCATAGTATAATTGGTTCTCATGTATTCCTCCTAGGGAGACATAGCCCATTAACCAATAAAACATTGGTCTCTTACAGAAATTTAAAATACAAAAATCACAAATAATCAGAATTCTAAACTCCCAGTAGCCTTGGCTGCTGTCCTTTTTTTGGAATAGTTTTATAATGGAATTCTGAAACACATTTTCTCAACATCCTCTCTCTTCCTTGATTTCTTCTCCTTCCCAACTCCTCTTAATCCTTCCATTTTTACTTACTAATACTTCATTCCTTATTTCTTTCCCAATAGGGTTCTCCTAAATTACCTCTGAAAGTAACAAGTGATAATACTAGCTATGTATTACCATTATGCCATTCTCCTCCCCTTCTACATCATTATTGGGACCCCAAATTAAAAAGTTAAACCTAGCCAGGCATGGTGGCACACACCTGTAATCCAATGTAATCCCAAAGGCTCAGGAGGCTGAGGCAGAAGGATCACAAGTTCAAAGCCAGCCTCAGCAAAAAGCAAGGTGTTAAGCAACTCAGTGAGTCCCTAAATAAAATACAAAATAGGTCTAGGGATATGTCTCAGTGGTCGAGTGCCCTGCTGAGTTCAATCCCAGTACCAAAGTTAAACCTTATAACCATCTTGTCTGAATCTCCTTCATTTGTATCTTGGTTATTTATCAAGGCTCATTTCCCTACACCTGTAACTTACTGCCAAACTGCACATACGTTAAATCTAAGGCATCATGGACAACCATGTGTAAGTCAGGGCCTTGGTTTTACTGCAGTAATATTTGTTACACAATTCGTAGATGGCAAGATTCAGCCTTCATGGATTATAATACTATAAGAAAATAATATTCATAAAATCACATTTCTAATTGGAATCAGCTTTGAAAAACATCAAAATTATTGAATCTTGCTGCAAAATTGACTTCCAAATAACACTGTGATTTACATTTAAAATAAAGAGTTAAATACAAAAGAGACAAATACAGCTGAACATTACATGAACTAAATTACTTTACCAAGGCACAGTCATCTATGTCTTGATCCCTTCTCTGCATCTGTTCTATTGTGTTCTCCCACTGTTGAATGAGTTCTTGTCTTTCATTGTGAATATTACGAAAATCTTGTGCTGCTTTATCCAATTCTAACTGTCAATTAGAGAGCAAAGAACATTTATGTGAATTTAAGTGCTTCTGTAAACATCACCTTGAAAAAAAAAGAAATAAAAACCTTTATTAAACCAACCTGTGCACTTAGAGTCTCCACGAGTTCATTGTCAAGAATCTTTCTTCTCTGATTAGATTCCAAAGTTAGTCTTTCTAATTGCAGAGTCAAGGCCTAAGATGTGGTTTCATGCAAAATATTCATTATTATCATTTTATTAATTTAAAAGCTATTAGATAATATACCCAATATTAACTACTTTTACACAAAATTATGCATTATTTGATATCTACACCAACTATATATAGTATACATTTTCCTTATCTTTTAACCCCAAAGGGCTAAACTATTTGCATATAGCTTCATGAATATTCAATAATTTCTAAAATGACTCTTAATACTTCTTAAATAGAAAAAATATTAAATTATAATCAGACATTTGAAACTACTTAACATAATATATTTGATATTAAGCCTACTAGAAAATAGCATGTTTTATAATACTAACTTTGTTAATATCACCAGATATAAGTGGAATTTAAGTGATGGTTATGATAACAGATCAAACAATAGCACTATATTCTCAAATAGCAAAAAATACAATATTCAAACTATATTTTAAATAAAATAGGTAAAATGTCAATAAAAAGTTCTATTATAAGACTTTCTGTTCTGAAATGCTCTCAAGAATCCTTCTAAATCAAGATA